TCTATCTTCACAGAAACACAAATATTGTTGATACAAATAGGAAAAAACTAAATATTTATTTCTTTACTCACCGCTAAGTTAGAAATGAGTAATATCTGTTCAGAGGCAGCAATAGAACAACAGAGTATTCTGTTTCCTCGGGCCGGAAGTACAGCGCCCCCACCTGTTCAGGAGGTAGATGGACCCTCTGGTCACTGCTGGCGCTCCTCAGAGCGTTTGCTCTGGGTGTTGGAGGGAGGAAAGCCGATGTTTGTCAGTCACTGTGGAGAAATGTCCTGACCGCGAGTAGCGAGGAAACAGGAAGCGATTCTTGTGGGATGGAAGAAGGAAATAGTGAAAACGAAAAAGACAATAAGAGAGTAGTGTCAAAAAATGAGAAAAGGCAGAGATCAATTGAAGGAGCGTCCAGTTCAGAACAATCAAGTGATGAATCTAGAAATTCCACAGGAAAACAAAACGAGAACAAAGTCATATTCAAGCTAGTTAATCAGAAAGACCCTTTTGCAGATTGGAATCTGGTTATGTTTACTAAATCCATAAATTCACTAGTAGAAGTCCTCAGTGGTAGAATCCTCTATAGTGGAGACCTGTTAATAAACTGCAGAGAGCCTCAGCAAGGCAAGGCAATATGGATTAACAAGATGGAGGGAAAAGAGTTCAGTGCAGCTTGGTGGAGAACAAAAAGATTAGCAGGGGAGTCATTGGAGGAGTTCCTCTAAAAGTTTCTGAAAAAGAGATTCTAGAAAATATAAGTTGTGCAAAAGTAAAAGATCTGACAGCTTATCTGTGTTGATTAAATTTGAAGAAGAGCAATTACCCAGTAAGGTTTTTATAGGTTACATGAGCTACAATGTTAAAAGTTACAATCCTCCTCCTCTGAGATGCTTCAAATGCCTAAAATGTGGACATATAGCAGCAGGATGGAAAGGGAAACAGCGATGTGGAAGGTCTGCTGGAGCGCAGGAATATGGAGAATGTGGGAAAGAAGCTAAAATCAAATGCTGTTACTGTGGTGGAGAACATACTGCTGCTTATCGCGACTGTAAAGTAAATAAATGATCTGAGGAAATTAAAAAAGTGAAATTTGAGCTCAGAGTAACTTCTGAAGCTGCAAAAAGGATCCCATCTCAGTCAGAAAAACCCAAACCTACAGTTCAGCACATGGCAAACTCAAAACCTCTGGAGGAGAGACAGAAAATTGAAGATTCATTGATTGTAAAAAGGAAAGATTTTGTTCTTTTCATAGTTGTAGTGATCAAATGTAGTGCTCAGACCACAAGAAAAAAACGGGAAAAAAAATCAAAATAATAGTGAAAGCTGCAGAAAAGTATTTTGAAGTTAGAGATTGAAACTGGGAAATGGTGGAAAGCATGATGGGAAAACCAATAAGACCATCAGACACTGGCAGAGTGACGATAACTGAAAAATAAACAACAAATTATGAGGACAAATGTGATTTAGTATTTATTATGTTGAGTTCAGTTAAAGTTTTTTTCTGGGGGTGAGTTTTGTTTCCTGTTTCCTTGTTTAACTCATTAGTCGGTGGCAGTAAAGCACTTTTTTATATTAATAATTTTTATTGAGAAAGCACATCACATTAGAATCAGAATCAGGTTTATTGCCATTGTTAGTGAAGGAGTTCACAACTAGGAATTTTTTATGGTACAATCGTGCAACATGAAACATATATGAAATAGTAAATAAAATAATAAAAATCTCTAAAAACACTGGGGTATAAGGCATGCAAAAAATATACTAATATA